ACCAACTTTAAGCTTTCATATTCATTTTTATTATTTATAAAAAAAAATTAAGGTATCAGAGTGCATATGGTGTACTGTGATCTTGATTTTGCACATTTATTCACGTGTTTTACATTATTTCAACTTTAATAAACATACCATGTGTGTATCTTTACAATACCTGATACAGATTTAGCTGTCTGGCACTTATACATGTATTATTAGTTCCTTTTGGTGCTCTGCACCTTCAAAAGGATGTTAAAAATGATTTGCCCGAAATAACTCCAAGATGAAGATTTACTGAATCAGCAATTGCCACACATTTGTGATGGTTTTATTTTTTTTCCCCTTAATTAAATGTAAACATTTGCAAAAAAAAAAAAAATCTGGAAACGAGGTTCTGTTACTTTTTAGTCCAACAAATAATTTTAGCTACACTAAATGTAGCTTTTTTAAGGCCTTCATACAATTGAAAAAATTAAAGTCAAGCCATGTTAAAACCCTGTTCATTTATAAAATAATAAAATTTTACAGGTTTGCAGTCACTGCTCAAAACCTGTCATGCATGTAATTCTGCAACCCAACTGAAAGTCCTTGGCGGTGGCAGTCAGGGCCCATCCTGCTGCCAGCAATGTGAGGCATTAAGAAAACACCATGATGTCAGAGGTCTAGGTTTACATGTATTAAGCCACACGCCAGTGAATTCTCTGATAAATACACATCATTTAATAATCAGTATTTGATAGCAGATGAAAACATGCATTAGACTAAAAATGCCACAACATTTGTTTTTATGCCCACTCACTATAAAAACTTTCTCTTTAAAAATTTTAAGTCTTGGTTCCCATTTTAGAATATGCAATAATCAGGAGGATACATGATGGGGAGCCAGTTTTCAGTAAAAGATGCGCAATGGGTCCATCCAAGTAACTTCATCAGCTACAGCAAAACAGAGTAGCATATTATTAAAGGAAGTAACAGATTTTTCAGGCTCAATATTTAAGATAAATCCTGTTAGTAGGTAATTAATAAAGTAGTAGCACACAGAACTTTTCTTCCTACCAACCAACCTTCCTCCTTCTTAACCAACCAACCAACCAATTTTCCTAGCAAATAACCTTTCTTTCTACCAACAACTTTCCTTTTTGCCAACCTATTCTCCTGATTGCTATTCTTATCAATCTTCTTTCTTTCCCTCCTTCCTACTAACCTGTCTTCCTTTACTCCTTCCAACTTAACTCACTTGCTCCGTTCCTTCCTGCCAACCTAATTTCCTTTCATTCATTTTTCCTAAGTGCCTACTCTAAGTCAAACATTGTCCTAGGCATTGGGAAAACAACACTGAACAAACTCAATTTGCTACTTTCAAGAAACTTACGTTCAATTCAGGAAAGACAAATAATAAATAAGCAAATGAATAAATAAACAATTAAGATATATCAGGTATAGAGTAAAAATAAAATGTGATGTATATGTAGAGTGACTGGAATCTTGGCTAAGCTAGTCAAGTTAGACGGTCAAGAAAGGGATCTTGGAAGGGGTGACATTTAAACTGAAATGGGAATGACAAGAAGAAAAACTATCCTGTGAAAATCTGATGAAAAGTAGTATGCTATGCAGCCAGAACACTTACTGCCAAGGGCCTAAGGTGGGAAGGATATGGCTGTTTTAGCCGATGTGGCACAAGCAGGGTGAATAAGGGGAAGTGTAATACAAGATATGGTTGGACAGGCAGGCAGGGGCCAGATTGTAGGGCCTTACGGGCCACGGTGAGGAGTTCCATTTTATTCTAAATGTGATGGAGATTCACCAGTAGGTGTCAAAAGACATCTTTTCTGGCTGCTGTGTGAAGAACAGACAGTAGGGGAGTACCCCGGAGGGTAGACAAGTTAAAACATAAAACAAGTCCTGACGAGAATGTCTGGATAGATCAGACATTCACATCACAGATGTAACTGCTTACGGATTATACTCCATGTGATGTGAACCACAGCAGACGTACTAACAATGAGTCCCAGGCAGAGTTCTCTTCATTTCGCTGTTCAAAGATCTGAGGATGGTGATCTTAAATAGCTCAGCATTTGGACTGAC